TAATAAATGTTTGATGCTGTAGACTGCTTAATGTTGGGCTCATTTCTTATACAGTAATAGATAAAACAATGGTAATTCTCCCCAAATTGATGGATAAATTCCATGCAATCCCAACCAGAATCCGAGAAAGACTCCTGTAGGAATTGTCAAGATGACTCTAAAATTTATGTGGTAAAGCAAAGGAACTAGAATAGTCAAAACACAGTTTTGAAAAAGAAGAACAAAGCTGGAAGACTCACAGTGCCTGATTTCAAGATGTGATAGAGTAATCAAGATCATGTAGTATTGGCAAAAGATAGACCCATAGATCCATGGAATAGAAAATGAAGAGAGTCCAGAAGTAAACCCACACATATATGGTCAATTGATTTTTGACAAAGGTGCAAAGGCAATTTTTAGAAAAATAATCTCTTCAACAAAAGTTGCTGGAACAACTGAACAGTCATACACAGAACAAACTAACAAGCAAACAAGCAAAAAACCTCATTGTATATACTTCACATCATGTACAAAAATAAACTAAGCATAGATCACAGACCTAGATGTAAAATCTAAAACGATAAAAATTTTAGAAGAAAACACAGAAGGAAATCTTTGTGACCTAGGTTAGACAGATTTCTTGTCTCGCACAATAAAAGGGCAATACATAAAAAAATGATAAGTTGGACTTCACCAAAACTCTGCTCTTTGAAAAACACTGTTAAGAAAAGGAAAAAGAGTCAGTTCTTCCATCACCATATATACTGACTCTGGGTGATGAACATACAATGCAATATATAGATGATGTATTATAGAAATGTGCACTTGAAACCTATATAATTTTACTAACCAATGTCACCCCAATAAACTTAATAAAAATTTTAAAAAAAGAAAAGGGAAAAGACAAACCACAGTCGAGAAAAAATATTTTCAAAATGCATATCTGATAAAAGAATTGTAAGCAGAATACACAATGAGCTCTCAAAATTCAATTAATAAGAACACAAACACCCAACTAAAAAATGGTCAGAATATTTGAATAGCCACTTCACTAAAGAAGATACATGGATGCCAAAAAGCACAAGAAAAGGTGCTGGACATCATTAGTCATTAGGGAAATGCAAATTAAAACCATAATGAAATACCACTCCCCTCCCTCTAGAATGGCTAAGATTAAAAAGACTGATAGGATGGAGTCGGGGGATTTGTAATAGATATGTATGATATTGGGGGGAAATGGGCTGGCGGAGTGGGGGAGGGGGGTTGTCACTTCAAGGGGTAAAAAGTATAACTATTGCACTGTGTTGTACAGCTGAAACTAATTCTAAAAATGTGTATTTCATAATAAAAATAATTTAATAAAAATTAAAAA